AGACACCCTGGATGTGCCAGGGAATCATGCAAAGCTACTGTTAACCTGAGCAACAATTCCATCTATATACCGCTGCACACAGAATAGGGCTTCTCATTCATTTTTATTCAGTAGGTACACATGCATGGGTTTCCCTTTGTGTGGAGGGCTAGTCCTTCCATTGAGGTAAGAGATGATGCTCTTGTGGGCAGTGGAGCTCACACATGTGCACCAAAGCTTCTGCATCTACATCCACAAGGAGTCACTGCTTTGCAGGAAAAGAGACAGGTCTGCTTGACGTACTTTGTCTAATGTGGGCTAGAGAGAGTGGCTGAGGTAGAGAAACAAAGACATAAAAGAAGGTGAGAAGAATTCAGAAGGGCAGCCAGAAGTAGCCACATCATTTTTTATTGTTGATGCTGTCTCAGTGTATAATGTCCATACCGTCCTACTCACTGCCATGTAAGTACATCAGTCACAGGCAATACTAAGTAAACATGCTCACTACGAGCAAGGAGAACGAACAGTCGAAGTTGCATTGCAGATTTCTTTGGAATGCCTCAGGGGAAGCAATTCATAAATGAAATAAATAAATAAATAAATAAATATGCAAATAAATAATAATTATTTGCACCACTGTTGAATAATTTCATAAGAACAGCCCTGCTAAAGCAGACTAAAGGTTCATCTAGTTCAGCATTATGTTCTCACGCTGGTCAACCAGATGCCTATGGGAAGCCCACAAGTAGCACCTAAGTACCAGCACACTCTCTCCCCAGTTGTGGTTCCCATCAACCAGTATTCAGAAGCAAAGTAACTCTGGTGTTAGAGATGACTGGCATCTGTCTGTCTCTGGAGACAATGAAAGAGTTCACCTTCAGGGTTAAAGTCAAACCGTTTGAGAGTTACAGCACCTGCTGTGGCTGGAGAGACCGATACAGGAGAGACATGTTTTAATACAGCTGGGGCAGATGGAGATGTCTAGTTTTGCTGCTGCAGATGCACCATGGCATTTCCTTTTTCTGCAGTCCTCCCAGCAATCATCCCTCCTCTGGTCACTGCTCTGGATATATATCCTGACTGTCTGTCTCCAGTCACTGCAGTCGTTTGCAAGGGATTCCCACATTTGCAGACATCTTTGTAACATTGGTCTGCCAACAGAGTTGGTCTGCCAACAGGTCTGGTGCCTGAAGCCAGCTCCCCATAGTCCTTGGAGACCCTGCCATCTTCCGTTCTGTGGACATGACCAAGACAGTGTAGATGTTGCTGAAATAGGCTTGGGAGAGCACATCTTTGTTTGAAACTCTGTCCTGCCATGTGATGCCCAAAATCTTCCTGACGCAGCACATATGGAAAGCTCCTGGCAAGTTTAAGTTGCCCAGGGAAAGGGGGAAAACTTTTCTTGAGCAGTCTAGTCACTCTTTTCTGAGCCTTTTCCAGCTCTACAGTTTTCTTTGGGTACATCTGGTTTGATAGGGATTAAGAGTCTGTGGTGCATTTATTCTGTTCTACTAATAAAATTGTGGATGTTTATTCAAAACCTGTCAAGGAGTCCAAATCATTTTGTTGTTTTTTTAAGTCATTTGCAAAAATATATGATAAACAAGGTAATGATATGTACAATTTTTAGCATGCAGAGAAGAGGAATGTGTAAACAAACCAGAGAGGGGAGCTGAGGGAAGTCTTTGTGGGGGGGAGAGGGAGGATGGGGGGAACAAAAAGGGGGGGAAATAATGTAATGGATTATTTGGATTGATAATTTGTTTTGTTGAAACTGTAATAATAATAATAATAATAATAATAATAATAATAATAATAGAGTCTGTGGTGCATTTGGGTGGAGGTGATTCTGGCCTTCCATTTGTGGTGTCTAATGGCCACCCCCTATTAGAAACCAGGCATGTTTAAAACATTCCAAATGATAGCAAGGATTAACTGAAGAAACTTCTCCCTCCAAAGAAGTCTACGTGCTCCTCTGGCTAAAGCAGCTCTCACACGTAGACTGTGATAAGAGACAGGGGCTTACACTGGTTTGTTTACACCAGGATCTAAGGTCGGCTTTAGATAACTTTGCTGAAAATGAAATAGCATGGGTTAAGGGGGTCTGGTCAGGAAGAGAAATGCTAACTCTGCTCAGCCTGTAAACCTTGCGTGCCAAGACCCCGTGACCCCCCTCCTGCTCCCTAGGGAAATGAATAACGACACAGAACAAAGCATATATGTGGATTCTCTTTATTTTTCACTTTCCTAAAATCATAGCAAAACTATTCTCTCCCTCTCTCTCTCTCTCTCACACACACACACATACACACTGATAGAACCCTTCTGAAATAAATAAATACTGTAATATAGTTTATACATTTTTTCTTTAAAATTAGGCACGAGAAACAACAGGGATTACAAGGAGAACATGGTACAAACTGCACCAGTGAACCATATGGGCAACGTAATAACCATGGAATTGGGAGCAGAGATCATGCTTTAGAGAGAAAAGCTAAAGGTAGAGGGAATAACGAAATTATAATTTGCACCCCCCTCCCCAAATTATAGCCTACAACATTAGGGAGGTTGAGGGTGGGCTCCGTATAAAACAGCAGATTAAAACATACAGAATGAAAAGTTGACAATTAAAAACAAGAGCTCCAGCAAATGAACTTGTTTATCTCCCACTGAAGTCAAGGAACTTCTTTGTGCTTCACTGTGCCAATTGTTTGGAGTGACACCTCAGCTTTTGTAGGTATAATGGAAAGAGATGGGATGAACCCTTGAGGGAGAATAGCAATGGTTCGGCTCTTTCAGGCCTAGCAGGCCAGATTTTCATAATTATGTCAGGTGACTGACATGCAGGTGGTCCTGCCCACCTGCCAAAATTGTCCCATGGATGTGGTAGGAGATAGTGAACAAGTAGTGAACAAACACCCCACATTTGAATCCTGCTTTCTGCAGGGTTATGGTGCATGAGAGAGTTTCCTGTGAGGATGTCTCTTATACACTCATACCAAGCAAGCTTAAAGTCCCTGCACTTTAGCAGATGTGCAGGGTATTCAATCCTGCAGGCTTCAGGTAAGTTAAAGAGTTCCTCAAAACCACACACCCAAAACCTGCAGGTGTGTGTGGAACTCAGTCTCGCTTTCTGCAGGAATCAGCTGTGTGAGCAGCCAGTCCAGCTGCATCTCTACCTGCCCCACAGGTGACATTACCTATACGACATCAGGTGTGGGTCAGGTGGGCATGGTTTGGGGAAAATGGACTGGTGAACCAAATGGGGAAAACTGGCGGGCCAGAAGTTCTCCACCCCTGCATTTTGGATTCCAGCTAATCTCTGTTCCTTTTCTGCATGCCCCCACTATAACCAAGTTTCTTTTATTGTGCAGGTGACGTTTTGCCAGCCTGATTCTTTTACGTTCATGTGATGTGCTGCTCTGCCAGCATAATGGGATTTGGGATCACTTTTGCGCTGCACAGTGAAAAGGTTTGCACTATTAGATACTGTGCTACACCAGCAGTATACGTTTTGAAATATTGAAAGATTTGTGATATAGCATACAATTTAACAAATTGAAATGATGATAGAAAAAAATACAATATTTGATATTTTAATTTCCCATTTATCACAACGAACATAAAAAACTAATAACCTTAGAAATGTATGCCTTTAGGACTCAACCTCACCGATCAAATTTCAGTTGATTAATCTATCAATAATTAAGTCTTAGTATTTTGGCATGCTTTGGTCGCTTCTTCCATGTATGAAAGAGACACAGAAAGGTTTCACTTTACTAAATTTATGAAGGCAGAGTTACTTTCATAAGTGGGATGCAGGTGATTTGAAACAGGTAAATTCTATTGCTATGAAGACTCAAATAGGTAGTTCTGTTCTAGTTTTTTAAGATAATGCTCAGATTTGTGGGCCTCCGGGCTTTCTCTTATGAGAGAGTCATTTGGTCCAAGATGATTACTAGAACGACAAAGAATTACTAATTGAATATATGGAGACTTAACATACCCTGTCTCAAGGAAATGAAAAGAATGTAATGGTTTTGGTTTTTTGCTTTTGGAGCAAAAAATATGTAGGCCTAATGAACTGAAAGAATATGTGGCCTCCAAAGGATTAGCTAGAAGATTGTCATTTCAAGGACAAAGGAAATCTTAGTGGAAACAGAGTGATTCAAACAAAACTACTGAACCGTTGCTGGAGAGTCTTGAGCAGCCCTGTGCATACTTAAAGGTCACGGGATCATTTATTGACTATTACACCTTCCTCCAAACAGAGATTTCATTTCAGACTTGATTTCATCAGCCATGGTCCTTGAACTGTGCTTCTGTCAATATAAACAACCCTTTAAACTGTTAATTTTTGCTCACTGGAAAACCTTTAAGGGAATTCTTACTTTTAAAGGATAACAACCATTTGAAGACTTTATGTTTCACTACATGTTTTTTTATAATAATTTTTATTAGTTTTCAATTACAATCCAATAATAGCCTCATTATAACATTACCAATTTATAATACAATTACTAATAAGATAAAAAGTTAAAGGACCCCTGGACGGTTAAGCCCAGTCAAAGGCGACTATGGATTTGCAGTGCTCATCTCACAAATTGTTCAAATACCAAATTATATAAAGTGGCACCCCACATTCTAGAATTGATGGCTTGATGATTTTCTTTATTTCTGCATTCCAAAATCTTATTAATTTCAATTACATTCCGGTCATAATAATAATCCCTTATACAACAACTGCAAAATTAATAACTTCTATTCATGTTGACACATTAAATGATTTATATATATATAAAGTTCAGGGTATCAGGAATTTTACTTTTTGAAATATGGCAACCCTATTTATTATTATAATTTATTATATTTGTATACTGACCTACATCTGTAGATCTCAAGCCCATACACAACATGACATTACAATATAAAAGCCATAGTATATATACATAGTAAATACATAGTAAAAATACATAGTAAAAAATACATAGTAAAAAATAAGAACAACAAACCAATAATAACCCCCCTCCCACAGTACATTTATGTTAACCTTGTCTTGAAGAAATCCTTGATGCTTGTGGATGTTCATACACTCTTACTTTATATCATCGTGTCTTGGGAACTAGCAGATGGACAACAAAAGTGAGACCTTGTGATGGCTAAGAAACATTTGCTGCAAAGCTGGAAGGTCAAACACCCATGATCCACAACTCAGTGGTCTGAAGATCTCACTGAGCTTTCTACCTTTGAAAGCAAAAAATAATAATAATCAATCTTATAATAATCAATCTTGATTAATTACTTATTTAGACAGATGGACTGCTTATATTCATCTATGCATTTAAATCAGGATTGACGGAATATTTTCATTGTGAGGGTCAGCTGGCGATGTTTTTATTTCCTCCCTCACTTCCCTTTCTTATATTTACAAATATAATTTCTTAAAAAAAACAGATATTAAGGATATTTTGGATACTTTTTTTGCCATATTTCACTCACTCATTCATTCATTGATTCACTTATTCAACACCCCATCCTTCAGATTAAAGAAAACTAGCTTACAGCAACATTCAAAAACAAATGAGAACATAAAATAAATAACAGTATAAATAACAATTTAACTTACACAGTACAGCTCAGATCAAATGAATATGGTATCCCAACAATGCAGACAGATTGAAAGGCCTGTACAAATAGATGAGATTTGAGACTTGGCAGCAGGTGACCTTCTGCCAAAGGGTGTTCTGGAAACCTAGTGCTGCCTACCTTTAGGTCAACAACAGCAAAAAGTAAACTCACATTAGTTTATTGTAATGTGTAAATTCAATTTATTTGTATGTAATTTATAGAGCATTGCTTCCATGATTACATGTGGTTGTGTTGTTTTGCCTTCACAAAAACCCTGTGATGTAGGTCAAGCTGAGGCTATCCACCATGGGTAGGAAAAAACAATCACCTTGAAGATATCTGGTTGTATGAATCCACCCAAATAAAATATTAAACACCATGTCATTGACCATTCTGTCTTTCCTTTTATGCATGCTGAGGCAGGGATTGTAAAAAAACAAAAAAAGTGCATTTGGCATGGGGGTGAGGGGCTAGGACCTAGGTGATTCTCAGCCGGGAATGTTTCCAGTAAGTAATTGAATATGGTAATCTAATTTACAGCCACTCAGGCACCGCTTTGCACAAATTAGGCAGTATTATACCACTGTTAATGAGATTTCCACCCTCCCTATCATTCTTTGTTACAGCAGCAGCATCATAATCAAACTGAAATCAAATGACTTCCCTGAAGTCAAAGTGATTGCATAGACAGCAGGCCCCATGGGCAACTTATTAGCATCCGGTGTTGGATTTCACATTTTCACAAGTTTCAGGTTGGCCATTCTCTTTATGAGGGAGAGAAAAATAAGAGTACCCCAGATTTATTTTATTTACAAATGTACAAGTTGGAGGAGGGTGAGGCAGGCACACAGAAAGGCCCAAATCACATGATTATTGTAAACCATTATCATGAACCTAGGAATGAGTTTTGAGGCGAAGTGCTTGTCCCCTGTTCCATCATTCCCTTGCTTTGGCATGAGGATTCTGGCTTGTATTAAGCCAATAGTTCCACAGCTCAGGCATAATGGGGACCTCTAAGAACATAGACAGCTGCCTCAGGACCCATCTGTGATACACATTTAAAGTAGTATCATACCACTTTCACGACTTCCCCTAAAGGATTGCGGGAACTGTAGTTTGTTAGGGGTGCAGATAAGTCTTAGGACAGGGGTCTGCAACCTTTAAGACAAAAAGAGCTACTTGGACCCATTTCCGAAGAAAAAAAACTGGGAGCCTCAAAACCATTGCGACATTTAAAACAAATATAACAGCGTACATATAAATATATAAATTTATATAAATATAAATATAAATATAACCGGCGTACATGCCCCCTTTCAATGCAATGACCAGCGTACATGCCCCTTACAATGTAGTGACCAGCATACATGCCCCTTACAATGTAGTAGTGACCACCATACATGCCCCTTACAATGTAGTGGGCGGGCGGGCAGGAAGGTGACATCGGGACGGTGCGTGACTAACGCACGCACCGCCCCCATGCGACGTAACAGCCAGTACAGCCCCCGCCACAGTGGGGAGTGTCGGGGTGCACAATGCGCCTCCTCCTCTCGCTAGTATCCGCCCTGGAGCCGCGGCAAAGGTGTAAAAGAGCCACATGCGGCTCCGGAGCCACGGGTTGCAGACCCCTGTCTTAGGAGATCCCACAGAGCTACAATCCTCAGAGTTTCATAGGAAGAGGGATTGCCTGTTAAAACATTCTGGGAAATGAAGCTCTGTATACAGCAGATTTATCAGTACAATAACATATCACTGGTGCTGCCCAAATGCCCAGGAAAACAAAAACATCTTTACTTGGTGCCAAAACAATGATAGTGTTGGCATCAGCAGAGAGCATTCCATAAACAAGCAGTTCTTGCTCCCATCTAGTGCAGTTCCTTTCTTACAGAAAAGCTGGTTTTGCTAATGAAACCATGGCCCATACTTGGTGGTATGTAGCTATGATGACATCACTAGACAAGTTCCTTCAGTGCCTAGCTACACCAATCTGTACTCTCCATTTTCAAGTTGTCCACTATATTTACCTTTGCAACTGCTGTATATTTTATAGATTCCTCTTCATTCCATTAGTAATATTCATCAACTCGAGCTCATAAAATTCTGTCTCAGCAGTGTTGAATGGTTTAATATGTAAAGGTTCATCATTGTTCCACTCGATGTGTATGTCTTTAAGGGGCCAGAGAAAGGGCCAGAGCAAAATAACGAGACCCAGCTTTACAGCTGTGAAACATAGCAGGTGCTGCTGAGTTGTATTGATTAAGCTGTGTTGGTAATTGGGTGTAGTATATAAGGAGCAGCACCTAGCTCTCCCATTACCCTGGGGGATGGGTTGGTGGTTGGGTCATGTTTGTTTGTTAATGTATTTAGTGTAAAAGGAGTTTTTGTTTTTCTTATTAAAACCTTGTTTAAGTTATTTTTGAGTCCCTTTTAATGCATGGTCTCCCCAGCAAGCTCTCTGCAGCGCTACCATACTGCAAAAAGCCAACATCTTTGGTTATGGGCCCAGCTGCTGAGTGGATGACTGCATATTTTTGGACTCTGAGAAAGGTTTGAAAACTCCTTCTCCTGTTAATGTAGTTCTGTGGGTCTGGAAGAGTTCCAGAATGGTTGACCGGGTTCCTGAAGCTGAGAAGGCTCTGGTCTTCCCACAGCTGACAGATGAGAACTATAGTTTATGGTCTTTTCGGGTGGAGGCACTTTTGACCTCTAGAGAAGTATGGACCTATGTAACTGATGACCCTCCTGACCCTGTGACTAATGCTTGGTCGAAAGGAGATGGAAAAGCCAGGGCGATAATTAATTTGGCAGTCAGCGACCAGCAAGTAGTCTATATAAGAAATAAGAAAACTGCCAAAGAAATGTGGGACAGTCTTGCAGCAGTGCATGTTAGAAAAGAGTCAGCGTCTGCATTGACGTTTTCAAGCAGTTGTACCAGACGAGTTGCAGCCTGGTGGTGATTTGGCAGCACACTTGAGACGTCTGGAGGCAATACGCGGCGAATTAATTCGAAGGGACATGGAGATACCTGATATTCAGTATGTTTTCATCATCCTTTGTTCCCTTAATGAGGACTTTGATGGTATAGCTAGCCAGATATCTGCCGCTCCACCAGCACAATTAACTGTGGAAGGGGTAACGGCAAGATTAATGGGCGAGTTGGACAGAAGGGAGGCTTGTGCCATAAGCACTCCTATTTCCAGAAAGAATGAGGAACGCCATATGCAAACTTGTGGTGATACAACTGCATTTAAAGCTGCAAAGCGTTGTTGGTTCTGCAATAAGCAAGGACATTTTGCAAAGGACTGCAGATCCAAAAGAAAGCAAAGCACTCCCAAGTCTGTTTCTGTTCGTCAGTCACGGTCGTCAGCTCAGCAGCCGGCATCGTACCGTAAAGACAGAAACGAGCCGCGAGCTTTTCACGCTAGCACAAGAGATCGTAAAAGAATTAAAGGTGCCAAGTGGAATTCTTTTATTGTGGACTCAGGAGCATCTCAGCACGTTTGCAACGATCGAAGCTTGTTTATTTCTTTCGAAGAGGAAATTGGTAATGTACATTTAGCCAATTCACAAGTCTTGCAGTCGCTTGGCAGGGGTACTGTTAAACTTGACTCTTTAAACATTACTACAGCGAACTGCATTTACTGCCCGTCAGTGGACAATTTATTGTCAGTAAGGTGTTTTGCTCGTCAAGGCATAACTGTGCGTTTTTAAAGTCAATGTGTGAGTTTTTCGAGGGGAACAAACGTCTATTGTATGCCCGGGAATCTGATGGTTTATATAGACTGTATTTTCGCACCTACTCCCAATCGCCTATAAATTGCAGAGCAGCACAGTCAAGCCAGGGGTTGAGGAATGTAAGGCCAAATTCTGGGTGTGTCCATGAGGCGCACAGAATTCTGGGACATCTGAATTTTGCTGATGTAATTAAGACCAAGAATATTGTTAATGGCCTCAACTTAAAACCATGTAAATTCTTTATGCAATGTCTATCCTGTTGCAAGAATAAGATTAAGGTTGCACGCAAGGGTAGGTGCTCAGATAGGGAAGTAACTGAGCCATTTGAGCGTGTACATTGTGATTTAGTTGGGCCACTCCCACCATCCTTAGGAGGTTCTAAGTACTGGCTTACCCTGATAGACCAATATAGTAGATATTGTTGGACTTATGCAATAGCTGAGAAGTCCCAAACATTATAGGTTGCAGTTTACAACATGTATTGACAAAGGTTTTGAAATTTTCTGTGATGCATCTCATGCAGTGGAACAAAATAATTGCAGGGGTGTGTCTGGTATGGTGTTTTGTTATAATGGTTGTCCATTTGAATGGAAGTCCCAGACACAAACCATTATTTGTCTCTCCACAACAGAGAGTGAATTATGTGCATGTGTTCAGGCCACTCGTGATGTGGAATGGTATCTGCAAGTATTCGCAGACCTACAGATGCAAGTAACACTACCAGTAAAAGTTTACCTTGATTCCCAGAGTGGACTCGCTATCCTATGTTCAGAAACCAATACGCAGCGCACTAAAGTCTTAAGATTACGTTTACAGTTTGTAAAGAAACTAATTGCTGATGAAATGGTTGTATTTAAATATGTTCCAGGTGACAATCAAATTGCAGACATTTTTACTAAAGCACTTCCAAAAGGTATACATGAAAAACATGTACAAAGTATGCTTTATGTTTTTGTTCCACAATGATGAACCGCAGGGGAAATGTTGAATGGTTTAATATGTAAAGGTTCATCATTGTTCCACTCGATGTGTATGTCTTTAAGGGGCCAGAGAAAGGGCCAGAGCAAAATAACGAGACCCAGCTTTACAGCTGTGAAACATAGCAGGTGCTGCTGAGTTGTATTGATTAAGCTGTGTTGGTAATTGGGTGTAGTATATAAGGAGCAGCACCTAGCTCTCCCATTACCCTGGGGATGGGTTGGTGGTTGGGTCATGTTTGTTTGTTAATGTATTTAGTGTAAAAGGAGTTTTTGTTTTTCTTATTAAAACCTTGTTTAAGTTATTTTTGAGTCCCTTTTTAATGCATGGTCTCCCCAGCAAGCTCTCTGCAGCGCTACCATACTGCAAAAAGCCAACAAGCAGGGGGTTTAGCTCGATGGCCTTGAAAGTCCCTTCCAAATCTATATAGTTATATGAAAATCCAATGGAAGCAAATGGCCTCAGATACTATTTAATTTGGGCAATGACATTTGAGTTTTGTTAGGCAAAATTAAGTCTCAAGTGGCAAGTTTTGTCTCACTAAGGGAATTGGAAAGCTCTTGCTCCTTGGCCATTGTCTTCGTCTTCCCAGACTGCTCCCAGATTTTTTTAGATGAGTATAAAACCTGATCACAGTGACTTAGGGTGGTCTGGATTTCTGCCTGGGGTTATTCAATTGGGTCATTTATGAACCTTTCCCCACTAACTTTAATCAACACTTTATGCAAAAGTACTTCCTTTGGAGAATATAATTTTTTATTAAAAAAAGTTTGAGAAGAATGATCTGCTATGGTTGCAACGTATACAGAAATAATAAATAAAGGTGGGAATCATCATAATCAGTTGTGCTTATTTATAGATATAATTCTGCTGCCAAGTAATCAGAGAAAAGGAAATTGATATTACATCATTCTCTGCAACCTGGACACAGGGAAATAGCAGTTCATCGCTGTCCAAATCTGGCAGGAGTGATGGGAATAATAACAAACTATAATATAATTTTTACGGGTCCCTCTTTTTATTATATAATAGAATTATTCAGCATCAGCTATACTTACACAAGCTATTTTTGCACACATGTTATCATTACTGCAAAAATAAAAATGAATGACTCGTTACTCCGCTGTTTTTCTCATGCCGTTTTGTTAAATCACTTTGTAAGAGAATATTTTCTTGGCTCACCCTTTAGCAGATGGAGAGAAGAAAACAAGGAGGTGGAAATCACTTAGTTATTTTCACACATTATTATTTTTTCTCTAGACCCCCTATTCCAGCAGCAATACTGTGTTCTTCCCATAGGAACTGGCCATCAAAATAGGACAGGATGTTGGGTAATCCCTCTAACACTTTTGCCAGAGCAATAATTGGTTGGACTTCCCCATCACAAAACTTGGAAGTCCTGCTGCAGAAGGTTGTGGAGAACCTGAGTGTATGTGTTTGTGTTTGTACACGCACAGACATCTCTGTAAAAGCGTGTATATAATGTTTGCATATGACCATATGCACATTTGTATGAAGTAGTCTTGCCTTGAGTTAGCCCATCAGTCTGCCTAGCCCAGCATTGTCTTCTCCAGGCTCTCCCACTGATCATTTTAAATGGAGATGCCAGAGATTGAACCTGGGGACATCTGCATGCAAAGCACAGGTCACACTACTGAGCTATGATACCCAAAGAAGGATGGATGCTGTATGGGAGGAGATCCATAAAGAGATCTACTGAGCCAAATGTGAAAGAGTCCTTTCAGAAGAGAGACGACAGGGCTAGAAAATGGTTTCCCAGAGTGTGTGTGAAAGGAAGCCATCTTAATTTTGGGAGCTCGGTGAGATGCAGTGTTGGACCACTGCAAAGAAGAATAACAATGGGTGACCTCTATAAGTATGTTACAGTCTCTAATGATTTGGTAAAAATGGACAGTTTTTGGTGGAATAAAATAGACTATTAGACATGGGTATGTCACTTCTATTAAAAAGAGCAGGATGAAGCTGGCGAGTCCCCGACCCAGGCTTGGCAAGTGGATGTTTCAGCAGGCAAGTGGCCACTAGCAGGGGGTCAACATAAAAGCTGGGCTGAGTTTGGGAAAGGAAGCAGCTGGAAGCAGATAACAGGGGAAATGCTCAATAAACACATGCTGTTCACTCTCAGAGCCTATTTCCGTTTATTCCCCCCCCAGGCCACTGATTATTTATATAAAAGGAGAAAACTCTGAGGCCCTCTGATGAAAGACTTTTTTGTTTCAGACCTGGCTATGTACTAATGATTCACACAACAGGCTGTTGATAACCCAAAATAATTCACTGATAACAGATCTCAAAATGGCGGTGGTGGTGGGGAGAGACATAAAGGCATGACAGCGATAGGCTAAGAGTTCCTGAGAGACTTATTCTCATGGCCTGCTGGAGCATTTTGTGGCAATTACAGGTTATGAGGTGCTAATCCTTTCCTTTATTTGAAGTTTGGCTGGCCCCTGAGGTAATTAATCTCCCTGGCCAAGTCTGTCAGCCATCAGTTCACAACCTGCCTGCCCCAGAATCTTTGAATTCAAAACAGTTTCATTCCACTGCCCAAAGTGAGACAAGTGTCCAGTCCTAAACAACTGACATGGAGGTTGTGTGTTGTTGTGTGTCTTTCCCCCTTTTGCTCCCTGTATATTTTGAACTTTATTTCAAATAAATTTCCATGTAGAGAGGAAGTCATTTTCTCTCATGTCAGAATGTAGATAATTTGTACTACATCGCTTTCAATGCCATTGTTTAATATAACAGACTTCCTTGTAGATTAGAATAAAATCTGTTAATTTAGATTATTTTTAATTTGCACGCTTTCATTATTTTTATTTATTTCTTTTAAATATATGTTTATTTATCAAAAATAAATTATATTTTTACTTTTCATCACAGCACACAATATGTCGCCAGAAGGTCTTTACTGTGGTAGCAAAAATACAAATAAAGGAAACTAACCACAAAAAGACAAAGAATAAAGATTTAGAATTAAATGTGGTTGTTGTTTTTTTGTGCTGCCAGTTTACACTTTACTCATAAGCAATACCGTTCTGGATTACATGCCACATAGCCTTTGCAATATTTTTATACTGAGTTTTACTATTATAGTATTGGATCAATTTCTAACATTCTAGTGATTTTTTTCCTTTATTGCTTCTCAATCCACAAGTTTGACACATTACTATTCTATGCCAAATTGTTTGTTCCTACAACAATAGATGACAGCTCTTGGGTATTACAGTGTTTAGCAATCAACATTGTGTCTGCTGCTAATATATCTCCTACTGTGTTTACTTTTTTTGGCAATTCTTCATTCAGTTTCCTCAGCAATATGATTATAGGGTCCCATTTTAATTAATATATTCTGCCATTTCATTAATCTTTCTTAACTTTAAATTGAAATCAGGAGATTTTGGGGGATCTGGGGAATGCTGTGGATGTATCTTGATTTCAAAAGGCATTTAGAAAGTCCCTCATGATATTCTTGTGGAGAGGCTGGTAAAATATGGGCTGGTTGAGGCAACTGTTAGGTGGATTTGTAGCTGATTGACTGACTGAACCTAAAGAGTGCTCAGTAATGGTTCTTCGTCATCATGGGAAAAAGTGACAAGCGGGGTACTGAAGGGTTTTGTCCGTTGTTGTTCAACATCTTTGTAAACAGAAGGAATTGAGGGGACCCGCTCATCCAATTTGCAGATGACACCAAACTGGGAGGGGCAGCCAAGGCTGCAAATACAGAATTGGGATTCAATGACCTTAACAGATTGGAGAACTTAGCCAAAACTAACAAAATGAATTTCTGTAGGAAGAGCCAGCTGCACCAGCTGTTTAATATACATTCAAACTTTGTAAGTGGTCTAAAAACAAAATGGTGCATGGATTTTCAGTGGACAACTTTTAATTGATTTTATTTTCTCTCGCAAAATTCAGAACATTTTTAAAAAGAACTGTCTGAAGGACATATAATATTGTTAATATGGGTCATTTGCCTGACT